CGCGCGAGCACGCTGGGGCGCCCAGCCTCAGAGCACGCGCACACGGAGCGCGCGAGCACAGATCACGCGGACACGCGAGGCACGACCTCGCGAACGAGTTCGCGCGCGGCCACGCCAGGTGAGGACCTTCACTACCGCATCGGAGCCGAGAGATGGTGCATCACGAAATCTGACCTGAGCCAGCTGCGCAAGGATGTGACAACGGCGATCGCGCAAGGGCGGATCCGGAGCACGAGCAGTGATCCGTTCGACCCCAAGGACACCAAAGTTGGTCCCAACATCTACACGGTCGTTGACCAATTGATAAAGCCTCTTACGGATATTGATGGGCCTTCAGGCGGTGCCAGTTATGCCCTCACGCATCACCCGGACGGTATCGAGTGCGAAGTATTCATCACACATGCGTGGTGTGAAGGTGTTTACGAGTTCATCGATAAAGTTCTCGCGTCTTGGCCGTGGGGCAAACGTTCTGCATACGCTTGTATGCTGTCCAACCCTCAGAACGGCGATTACCTCGCAAGCATGATATCAAACCCTTCGGAATCGCCATTCGCCCGTGCGTTGTCACACGCTACCCACGTGATTGCGGTGCCAAACCAGACCGTCGGTATCTACACTCGTCTATGGTGTTGTTACGAGGCTTATCTGGCCTACTGTTGGGGAAAGGAAATCTTCACTGCTTGGACGCCCATCGGGACCAGAGCGGTGTTGAACACCGTATGTGGCCCATTCTTGACGATGGTTGTCACTGCGGCTTTGGGCATGGTCTGTATGACTGATGGAATGCTGCGCTCGGACTTGGTAGCCACCGTGACCTGGTGGTTTACGATGCCTGCGTATGTGATTTCTCTTGTGCACGCTTCGCTTTCAGCGCCAGGCCTGCGACGCACCGTGTCCATTTATTCAGAACGCTTCGCGCTTAACTGCCAGGCCGGCTCTGTGGATCTCCCCGGGACAGGTCAAGGAATGCCCACAAAGACAGAAGGAGGGCATGCCGAAGTCAGGTAGAAACGGTCTCGCACGTGTGCATTCCACGGATGGCACAGCGGTTCAGAACAGCCCAGACCTCGGAGGGGTACCCTTTCCTTTCTGCACGCTCGGCTCAGTTCCGCCCTGGAGTGTTGGTCGCTTGGGGTAGATCTCTCCATGGGGCCTCCGGCCATCGGCGAAGGGACTCGTGCTGCTGACAGGTTTGGATTGTACCCCCTCTGCGGTCCCTGCGCTGCTCACCCACTCCATCGCCGATAGGATTCGGGGGCATACCGTGTGGCTGATCGACAGTCGTCGGCCCGTCAACAGCACCGTGGGGTTGGGCGCGCATTAAGTCGGGCTCGTTCCTCTACAGGAGGAATGTTCAAACATAGTCATAAAATTGCCTGGGGCCTTTTTTTTAAAGCCTTTTTTTGACCATTCTGGAGACTTGTTGTAAGTATTTTCAATTCTTCGTACGACTTCAGGCGAGCATCAGGGAGGCGTGCTCTCTGGAGCTGGAAGCTCGTCCGTGCCAGGAGGCCAGAGGTCAGAGGAGGAAAAGGTACCCATACCTCTACCCTCCCCTCGTTTCCCCTTTTGGGGGCCTCCTAGGACGAGGAGGAGGAGGAGGAGGAGGAGGAGGAGGAGTCCCTCGTCGCCACCGCTGGACTCGCCTCGAAGTCCTGGTCGGAACGCACCCCGGGAGAGGTCGGGGCAATGGCCGCGTAATGGGGGGGTCATAAATGGGGGGGGGGGGGGGCGAGGGTGGTTCGAAAAGGTACCCAAACGGTACCCAAACGAGCCCCCCTGGGGCTCTGGAGGGGCCCGACAGGAGCACGAGAGGGGACCTCTTCTGACCCCCCCGAACATGGACCCCCCCATGGAGTCCCGCCCGAAGCCGTCTCGGTCGGCACCTTTTGGTTTCGCCAAGAGAGCGCCAAGAGAGGCGGGCCGAGGAGGGCCCCCCCCCGGCCAGGGCGGCCCCGGGAGCGGGGCCGCGCGGGGGCGCCAGCCGGCGCGGGGGCCGCGGAGGGCCTCTCTGGCAGGGATGCCGAGCAGGGGCCCCCCCGGAGGAGCCCCGAGCTCGTGCCAGGCATCGGGCGCCTCGAAGGATTGCAAAAAAAAACCCTGGGCGAAGGATTGCCCAACAAAAAACAACCCTGTTTTTTTTTGCAATCCTTGGAGCGAAGGACTGCAAAACAAAAAAACCTGGGTGCTTTTTTGCAATCCTTCGTTCAAGGTGGAGCCTCGAAGGGTTTTTTTGCAATCCTGGGTCCACGCAAACGGGGGTCGGCCAGAGCACCAGATCCTGCAGGATCCTGCGAAGGCCCCCTCTGGCTGACCCGGGTCAGCGAGCCGCTCGTGGCCGCGAGGCGGCCGCGCGTCTTGGCCGACCCGGGTTTGCGAAGACCGGCGTTGCAGTTTTTGTTCCTGCATTGCATGTGTTGGTTTCCTGCTGACCTGGGTCTGGATTGACCCGGGTCAGAAGATCCCCGAGGGCATCGGAGGTTGATAGACCTCCTACCCAGAGGTGGAAAAGGTACCCATACCTCTGTCCTCCGCCCGTTTTCCCCTTTTGGGGGTCTCCCGGGCATTCCTCGTCGCGGTCCGCGGAGTGGCGGTATGGGTACCTTTTGGTTTCCGCGGTATGGGTACGTTTTGGTTTCCCCACCTACCCTGATACGTCGATTAAGGAATTGGCCGTTTTCGGTTCGCGAGAGGACGTCGCGGCCGTCATGTTTGCGGGTCCAGGTCCGTCGGTTTCGGCCCTGGGCCGTTTTCACTGAGGGGAGGTTTATCTCAAGGGATGCTTGTCCACCGCCGAACAATCTCGTTGTTGGATGCCTCAAGCGCGAGCGTCCCCGCGCTGGGCGCTATAGCCCAGTCCTGATTCCAGTTCCTGCAGGCCCACGCAGGGGCGCAGTGTGGTCCGCGGCGGCGATCGAGGGGGGGAAGTGAGAAGGAGAAGGCCTTCTCAGAAGGCGGCCGGACTTCTCAGGAGCCCCCGCGCCTGCTGAGAAGTTTTCTCTGTCTTCGGAGAAGGCGTAGAACACTTCTCAGAAGGCCGGGGGACTTCCGAACCTACTGAGAAGGCCTTCTCCTTCTCATTTCCCCCCCTCGCTCGCCGCCGAAGTCCGCAAGTCAGGCCCAGCTTGGGCCCATGATCGTCCCAAAGCAAGCGCATCCAGATTGGTGTGACAGTTCCCATTCGCAAGCGATGCCGCAGCCCCGATAAGTTGTCAGAAGAGGACGGTGCCCAGGCGAGCAGTCGGGATAAGCATGCAGTCCATGACAACAGTGTTGAGTTCTTAACCCCTCACACGCCCATCCAGAATCTACGTCCACGCGAGTCGTGTTGCGAGCCTCGTAGAGGCGCCTCCTGGACGCATCTTGAGAGGAGGGGAAGGAGGAGGAGAAGGAGGGGGAGGCACAGAGAAAAAGGATACAGAGGAGGAGGAGGAGGAGGAGGAGGAGGAGGAGGAGGAGGAGGAGGAGGAGGAGCAGAGGGGAGGAGGAGGAAGGGGAGGAGGAGGAGGAGGAGGAGGAGGAGGAGGAGGAGGAGGAGGAGGAGGAGGATCAGGAGGATCAGGAGGAGGAGAAGTAGGGGGAGGAGGAGGAGGAGGAGGAGGAGGAGGAGGAGGAGGAGGAGGAGGAGGAGGAGGAGGAGGAGCAGGACTGGGAGAAGGTGAAGTGGAGGGGAGCCTTCAACGATGTTGTGTTGCTCGAGCTGATTGGAGGCGTTATTGGAGCCATTTTGGAGTCTTCTTGGAAGCAGGCTGGCACCCTTTTGGTGACCTTTCAATGAGATCTCAAGGCCCTCTTTGGGGAGCTCTTTCGGGGGTCTTGGACCCATCTTGGCACAGTCTGGGGCCCCATGCGACGAAAAGGAGGGTGTCGTCAATTGGCCCCAACCCCCATCCGCCCCTTCACCCATCCCTAGGATACCGAAACCTTGCATCTTGGAGGCCATCTTGGATCATCGAGGGCTATCGCGGACCATTTCGTGCACGCTAGTTAGCCCCTCGCGGCACCTCCCCCAGGAGGACCCTGACGGAAGAGGGAAAGCATTGTGTTTTTTATAACATTTGCGCCCAGAAGCTTCCGGGATTCCTATTGGATGTGTAGGGGGATTCTTGGAGCGCAACGTGGGCATCTTGGAGACGCCCGGGAGGGAGTCGATCTGGAGGCTCCGGGGGGCCGGGAGTCGCGCCGCAAGAGCTTGCTCCCCCGCGCGCCTGCCCCCCCCCCCCCCGCCTGGATGTTGGGCGGGAGGGCGTGCAGGTCGGTATCGGTCAACCGATCCCCCTCCCTATCTCCATCCCCTTCGAGACACCCCCCCCCAAAATGACCACCCCAGTTGGGGGTACACCCCCCGAAGCCCGGAGGGAGCGGCCGATCTCCCCAGCTAGGGTACATCGGCCAGCGGGGCCCAGGCCACGCCGCTGGGGATCTTGGCATCGCTCGGACGTGCGCATGTTTTTCTCGGCGAGGACCATCGAGGAGCATCCTTGACCATTTGGCGAAAAAGCCACGCACGAAACCGAAAAAAACACAGGGAATGGACGTCCGAGCGATGGCGAGATCTCCATCCCCTTCGAGACCCCCACCAAATTACCACCCTAGTCGGGGGTGCACCCCCCGAAACCCGGAGGGAGCGGCCGATCTCCCCATCCAAGGGGGGTAAATCGGCCAGCGGGGCCCAGGCCACGCCGCTGGGGATGGGGATCGGTTAAACGATACTCCAGATTTCGTAATAAAAGGGAGGGGGTCTGGACCCTCCAAGACAAGCCATTTCAGACCTCCCCCGTGGGAGAACCCTCCAAAACATCGTCCCCAGACCCCCCAGGCCCTCCAAGATAGCCTGGAAGAGACCCCCTCCGAAATGAGACCCCCCTCCCTTTATTACGAAATCTGGAGTACTCAGAAGGGGGAGGGGGGCAGCCAAATGTCTGACACGCCATCTCACCCCCAGCAATCGGAGGTCGTCGGGTCTCTCCTCCGTGCTCACGGCGTTCAACGCGTGCGTGATGATTCGGCGCCAGTGGATTCCCAACGCAGTGGAAGGCACTCTGTCCAGCACAGCACATGTCACAACCATCGGTTGGATGTGGATGTCAGTCGTGCCCATGCTCTTGGCGATAGACGGTGTGCGAGGGACACTGCGCCAGGCAGACCTTGTGCGGCTTGGCCTGGGTTTTAGTGGGACGGTCCTTGAGTCCTCGTGCGCACTGGAAGGCGATAGGACGAGCATAGTCGGATGCATTGGGGATGAAATTGCAAGAGTCGATCAGTCCATTCGTGTCTTGCTGAAGACCGGCATGTCGACTGCATCGATGCGAAAGGGCGCGAGCTTGGGGATCGCCGTGGAGAGGTTGAGCTTCATTCAGTGGGGGCCAGCCTACCTCCTGTGGTCATGCTGGATTTTCCTCTGCCTGGGCCTGTACAGGCCAGGGTTACTGCAGCTCGAGTCCGCGGCGGGCATAGCATCGTGGCAGGCAACACAGTGTGGTTATCCTGTGATGCATCTCATCATATTCGCGGCGTCTTCCCGGGACCACAGAAGTTTCATCCTAGATGTTGACGCGATTCTGCCGACCCCCTGAACAGATGATTCGATGGTGTCGAGAGTTGTTGGTAAGGCATCCAGAGGAGGGCAAAGTAGATGAGGAGGAAGAGTAGCGATTTGATTAAAGCTCTCTTTGCGCTGTTTTGGGCCCTGGAACTATTGAGCCCCTCTTTGGGCTATCTGACGTAGGCCATCCTCTGGAACGTATGTGACCTTCTAGGTGGGGGCTCCATTGAGCTGTATGGGAGCACTGTGGAAGCTTGTTGGAGCTTGTCAGGAGCCTTGCTTGGATTCCTCTTGGGCCACGATGTGGGCTTCATTTGGGCACAGCTGGGCAACTTTGAGACCACTGTCTGGCCGGTTCCCTTCCTCCCTCCTCTTGCCCCTGACTGACTCTTGGCTGATGAAGGTGATCCTGTAGCCGTGCAGGCCTGTCCTGCCACCTCCCCGCGGCTAAGCCCAGCGGGGAGGTGGGGGCGCATTATGGAACAGGTCATAAGCAAAATGTGAAGGAACGAGGTGATATCAGGAGAGGAAAAAACACACAGACACAATTAATCCTCGATTCCCCCAAAAATATGGGAAAATATGGGAAGTGGGGGGGAAGACAAAAACCCAGAAAATATAGGAAAATATGGGGAATCTTTTTATTTGTGTGTATTTATTTGTGTGTCCTAATTTCCCTTTATGATAGCACGACCAGGACATGAGTGAGGAGGCGGGGCGCCCGGACCAGAAATGTGGGGCTCGACCCCAGCAGGGGAGGAGGAGAGAAAGGGGAGGAGGCACCATCACAATCCTCTTGCCCCTGGTCCTCCTCCTCCTCCCCCCTCGCGCCTGCTCTGCTCGCTGCCTGCTGCCTCCCCCCTGTCCCTTCCCGCCTGCCCTCCCGCCGGCCCTGCTTTCCCACCGGCGCGTTCGTCGTCGTCTGTTTTCTCCCTCCTTCCTTCATCTTTCCTTCCTTCGTCGTTCCCTCCTTCCCTCCTGATGTCTCCCTTCGTCGTTCCCTCCTTCCTTTCTCCCTGCATCTAGACGGGCAGCACAGACTGCCAGGAGCATGCGGCGAGACGTATCTGAGAGAGCAGAGGCGACGACGCCAAAAATTCATCGAGCAGCCGACGCGGCCAAAATCATCTGGCAGCTGCCGTTCCTCTGTTTTCGGCCTCTCTGGGGCTTCACTGAGATGCTCCAGGGACACCGTGGAGCCGTGTTGGGCATCTGGGAGGGGATTCTCGGAAGTTTAGTGTGGCCACTTGGGATGTCTCTGAGGTCAGAGAGAATATGGCGAGTCAAAGAGTGCGTCGCCCCATGACCTCTCCCCATTTGGACGCGACGTTGGACCCCCGTGCAGGTGGAACACGGGGGAGGGTTTGAGGGCAGAGAACATCAGTCGAGCAGCTCGTCGCCCCACGATCCCCCAATCTCCCTTTCAGACGCGATGTTTGATCCCCCCCAGTGAGGTTCAACACGAAGGAAGAAGATTGCCAAGCATCTCGCGCAGCTTGACACCCCATGGCGGAGGTTGGCGGGTTGTTTATGTCACGTATAAACTTCTGGTCTGGCTGGTTGCATTGGATGCGCTTGTTAACACTTTGGGTCTGGCCGCGATGTATCAGCCTACAGCCGTTGCGTACAACTTGTTCGGCATGTTGTCGTTCGTGATCAGTGCCATGGGCTTGGGCAGGCTGGCGTCCATTCCCCTGGTCGGAGAGCGCTGCGCACGCTGGCTGATCGGTACAGCTCCGCGCGTTGAAGCCATCTACCGTGACCCGGTTCCAACGGTCGCTGCGTAGAAGGGCGCGCCACGGCGCGCCATGAGGCCTTGTTCTGAAAGGAATGCGGCGTCGGAAGATACCGCTGCCCCCTCCCAGCCTCCTCTTAAGCCAGGGTGAACCAGGGCGTCCCTTTGCAGAGGGGGAGGGGCATCTGAAGCTACCCCTCCTCCCCTGCTGTAAACCGGGGAGCTTCGGAGGCTAGGAACGAGGGCGGCCAAAGCAGAAGGTGGTAGCTAAAGGGGGCTACCCTCCGTTTGCTCGGGCATTGCTGGCGTGCGCTTTTTTCTTTTCTTTGTATGTATTTAGGTCTTGCCGTTGGTGTGGGACCTCGTTTTGAACAGAGCTCAGGTTGGGACGCCTCGCCCCCCAATTGTCCTCTCATCGCCGATAGGGGTCCGATAATCCACTCCGCCAAGGAACGTGCAGTTTGGCTATCGGGGGCGATCGCCCATTTATGGGCGATGAATCGCCGATCTCAACTCTATGTTGCCCCATTGAGCAAATTCCCCCATTCTATTGTTGGTCATCATCAAGCCGCACAACGCTCGGTGCCTTGCAGCGCCCCTGGGGGATGAGGCGCGACTGCCTCCAACACAAGTTTACGAGAAGTTCGGGACGCTTGTGCTGCCGAGGGTGTCGGATGGACTCGGTGCGCCCCTGTTCATTGTACCGTGGCTTGACCCTGGACGCCCGTGCGGTATGCAAAACAACACTGCACGGAACAATGCCAATGGTTCCAGCGATGGCTTACGATGACGAAGATACTGACGATGCCGGCGATGCATGCGATATCCGCGATACCAATAACGCGAACAACACCAACGCTATTGGAACTGCAGGCCGCTCGGCGGCATCGTCGGTATCTTTGATGTTTCCCTTTTCCACCTGGCCACCCCGGTCCCTCAGTCCCCCTCCTCACTCGAGGTTGCCTAGGCCATTCGAGCGTCGTTCAGGTGCTGCGCAATTGCAAACAGTTTCGGTTGAGCAGAGCTGTGTCCTTGGGGGATGAGGCACGGCGGCTACCAGCACAAGTTTACGAGAAGCTCGGGACGCTTGTGCGGCCGAGTGTGTGGGTGGACTCGGTGCACCCATGTTTTTGTTGCACCGTGGCTCAACCTTGGGCTCTTGGTCGGTATGCAACATAACACGGCGCGGATCAATACAAATGACATCAGCTATAGTTCACGATGACGGAAATACCGACGACGCCGGCGATGCATGTTATATCCGCGATACCAGTAACGCCATCAACACATTCGCGATACCAGTAATACCATTAACACCAGCGATATTGCAATTAAAGGCCGTTCGGCGGCATCGTCGGTATCTTTGATGTCTCCATTCCCCCGGTCCCTGAGCCCTCAATTTCGTTCGATCGAGGCTGTTTAGGCCATTTGATCGTCGTTCAGTCGCTTTGTTATTGCGAGTATTTCCTGTCCAGGGCAGGTCCTCTGGCTTGCAGCAGAGAGCTCCATGGGTGAGCAGTGTGGACGGCCGTTCCGAGTTTTTTTTGATGTTCTCGTGCCCGTCACGGTTTGCATGCCGTGCCTTCTTGTTGCTTTGACGTGACGCGGTTACCAGGACATCCCTGCCTTGTTCAGGACGTCCAGTTGTAGATAGACTGTTCTGCGCGATGCTTGGCATCCGTAGGCCATTCTTCGGGCCCGTGGGCCGTCAAACAACGACCCATGACGAAGCAACTGTCCCCATGAAGGGGCTGAACATTTCCGGGGGTGCGCGTGAAGAAAATCATGGCAACGGAAGCGTGTGGCTGGAATTGTGCAACGCGCAAGGTGTTCACGCTGGAGGCATACGCGTGCCCCGGCCAGGGCCCAGGCCTCGGGCCAGCAACATCGGGCACAGAGCCCCGGCTGCATTTGGGTTCATCCGGATGCATGCGGCAAGTTGGTCTGCCCGTCATCATGTAGCAGTTCGTATTGGAGCCATGCGGGGGCACAGTGGTTGACTCGAGAGACAGAGACAAGAGAGGTCGAACCAGGATAAGATGTGAGGGCTGAGGACGGGGAGGAGCAGCCGAAGCAACTTCAGGGGGGAGGGCGATCAGAAGGAAGAGCAATCGGTGCTGCACATTGCTCTCTGCTCGGCAAGCCCCTCCCCAAACTGATTGTTGAAAGCCTTTTGTGCTACACGTGCCCTTGTTTGATCACCAGCCTCTCCTCCTGCACAAGCCCCCTCTGTTAGACAAGGCCCCTCCACAAGCTGGTAAGAGACCTCTTTGGTGCTAGACTCAACTCGGGCATGTCCCTCTACAGGAGGAATTTTCAAACATAGTTTTAAATATATTCCGGGGATGAATTTTCAATTAGTTTTGCAATGTTTGAAAATAATGTTATTTGTATTCTTCGTCCAAAAATCTGTTTGTAGGGGCACATCCCCGAGCTAATGCTAGACGTGCCCCTCCTCCTACAAAGGCCCCCTGTGATGTGTAGCACCCTGTCTTAGACCAGGCCCCTCCCCAAGGCGACTAACACAACTCAATGGTGCCGCTCCTTTTCCTGAGCAGTACCCTCTGTTAGACAATGCCACCTCGGCCAGCACAGGAACGGAGAGAGCGCCTCAGGAATTTGCCCGAGATGGCTCCTGGTTGGGAGCCTTGGTGTGAATTCTCCAGATTTCGTAATAAAAGGGAGGGGGTCTGGACCCTCCAAGACAAGCCATTTCAGACCCGCCCCGTGGGAGAACCATCCAAAACATCGTCCCCAGACCCCCCCAGGCCCTCCAAGATACCCTGGAAGAGACCCCCCCCGAAATGAGACCCCCTCCCTTTTATTACGAAATCTGGAGTAGCTTGTTACGTCGCCGTCGCCGCTGGGAGCCCTGGTGTTCCGAGACTTTCGCGCTGCCGCTCATGCTTGGGAGCTTTAGTGTGACGAGCTCTTGACGTCCCCGCACTCTGGGAGCGTTGGTGTCACGAGCTTGCTGCGTCCCCGCTCGCTGATGGGAGCCATGGGTGTTATTGAGCGTCTCTTGGGCCTGCGGGAGTCTTCTGGGGGCCCGTGTGGAGCCCTCTTGGGCCCCTCTTTTCTGCACAGGCCTCCCCTGTTGCACGGCATCCTCGCTGCGCGGCCCCCTTTGTTGGGCAAGGCCCCTTCCCAAGCTGGTGAATCGGACGCGCGGTGCTAGGCGTGCCTTTCCTCCTGCGCTGGCCCCTCTCGAAGACAAGGCCCTATTCCCAAGCAGGCGGTCGCAAACGCTCGCTTGTTCTAGACGTGCGTTTTCTCTTGAACTGGCCCCTTCTGCTGCGCAGCGCCATCGCCTAGACAGGAGCCTCTCCCAAAGCTCATGTCAAAAAGTTCATTGTTGCTAGACGTGCGCCCCCCCCTCCCCTTCACTGGCCCCCTCTGCTGCGCAGCACTTTCTACGAGACAAGGCCCATCGCCAAGATGAGTTCAAACAACTCATTCTTGCTAGACGTGCACCTTCTCCTGCACGGGCCCCCGGCACCGCACACCATGGTGCCCCGCGGGCCCTTCCGCCGGGGCCCCCGACGCCGCACGCGGGGGCCCCGAGCCCTGGGCTCTGGCCTCGAGCCCTGTGGCCGGGCCGTCGAGTCCTGGACTCCGGCCGACACGTTTCGGTGCTTCCTGGTCGGGCGAGGGCTCCCCGACGTCTTCGCGCAGCTTGCGTAGCTCGATGCCGCCGTCTCCTTTTCGTCCACTCTTGCCGAGCTTCGCGCTGCGAGACGTCCGCGACCTCGCCGCGGCGGGGGCAGCGATGGGCGGGGGCAGGGCACAGGCAGTCGCTCATGGAGCGCCGACAGTCAGAGCGTGAATTACCTACCCCGCTTTCGCTTCCAGGCAAAACCAAGCCGTACCACGCGCCTCCTCGTCAAGCGGCCTGACCAGTACAGGGCGTAGTTTGGCACCGCTTGGTATCTCTTGGAAGCGAGGGTGGTCAAAAGCGAGGTAGGTTTGTTTGCCCCCTAGACAGGGGTCTCATAGCCCACCCCTGCCAATGAGCGTGCAGATTTGCGATCGGGGGGGCCGTCGCCGATCCATCGGCGGCGCATCGCCGATGCCAGGTCGAGGTGTCCACGCCTGTGCCAGCCCCGGGCCCCTCGGCCCCGCCCGGTGGTTGGCGACCAGAAGGCAGAATTGTTTTGTACACTAGACGCCCCTGTTCCTTTGGGCTTATGGGTGGCGCGCGAGTCGTTCAGCACCACCAAGTGCAGACTCGTGGCTTGAACATGGCTTTTCGGCCTCATCCATCACCTTCCCATCTCACCGTCGCCATCTCCTTTGTGCCGTAGACCTAGGCCTAGGGAAGGGCCTTCCGGTCGCCAGCGCTTGTTGGGACTGCAATTGGCTTGGTCCGGTTTGTTTCTTTCCTGTGCAAGCCTCGTTTCTTCCAGATAGCGACCCTTGAGAAGGCCAAGGTGTCGTGCTGCTCTCTTGCTGGTGTAAGTTTTACATCCGAGATAGCACTGACGATCATCCGTATGCGGCGAACAGTCCAAACAACAGGTGTCCATTGCACAGGGGAGGAGGAATATGAATTGTGCTGGCAGCGTCAGACAGCGTGACACAATCTTAGGCCAGCTGCCAGCTTATGCACAAAGCATGCACGCCCAGGAGTAAACGCTAACGAACAATGGCTTGTCTGAGCATGCGCCAGGAGCCAATGTTGAGCATGTCATGGCACCTGGTGATGCGAACGTGGAAGGCATCAGGCAGGTTTAGGGAAGTTTGTTGCATGGTACCCTTCGTCGTGGTCTGGTCGCGTGCCGTCTGTGCCGCGCTCGTCAGGCAACTACACGGTGCGCGTGGAAGCCGATTGCAGCGGGGTGGTCACAGCAACAAGGAACGGGGTCATCGTCGGCGCTCCCTGCTGGCGCTATCCCCTTGCGCCCGATCGCCCTGATGCAGAGCGCGGCAGGAGGAGGAGGAGGAGAAGGAGGAGGAGGAGGAAGAGGAGGTGGGGGACGAGAAGGTGGAGGAGGAGGAGGAGGAAGAGGAGGAGGAAAAGGAGGAGGAGGAGGAGGCGGAGGAGGAGGAGAGGAGGCTTCCGAGGTAAGGTTTCGGGCTGCGCGCACCCATCCCGCCCAGGCAGTCCTGGCTGACCTCCCGAGTGGTCCCGGTGGGCCTCAGCAGGCGCCCCGAGAGAAGTCCTGGGCGGGCCCATGCTCTGGCGCCGCCTCGGGCGGCGCCCCCCGGGGCGTATCAAGGGTTGAGGTGTCAAGACTGTCTTCCTCCTCCTCCTCCTCCTCCTCCTCCTCATCCCTCTCCTCCTCTAGCCTCCTCCACTTCCTCCTTCTCCGCCTCCTCCATTCTCCTCCTCCTCCTCATCCCCTTTCTTCTCCTCCGCCTCCGCATCCGCCTCTTCCTCCTAGGGGGGGCGTGATGATGATGATGATGATGATGATGATGATGATGATGATGCTGATGCTGATGCTGATGCTGATGCTGATGATGATGCTGATGCTGATGCTGATGCTGATGCTGATGCTGATGCTGATGATGATGATGCCCCTGGCTACTCAGAGGGCCTGGTGAGGCCACCTGGGACTACTCTGGGGGTCCTTGTGAGGCCAGCCAGGATGCGTTGGGGGGGCTGTCTGCGCGCAGCACCCGGTCTTGCCAGATCCATGCCTCTGTGGCGACACGCTTCCTGGCCCCTGGCCAGCCGCGGGCGATCGCGACACGGAAAGTCCCGGGGCGGGGATGTGTCCAGAACCTTGCTGTCCTTGGCGGTCTACCTCGAGGGGCCTCAGCAGGCGGCGGGTATGGATGCACGCCCACCTCTCAGCAGGGGCAGGGTTGTTTTTCCAATCGAGTAACGCCCGCGACGAGCCATTCGCAGATCAAGTCGGTCCTGTCTTCGGGAGCTGTGCCGCACCTGCTGCCGTAAAAGGCTGCCCTGCCGAGATGCGCCTGACATATTGAAACTGCCCGTCTGTCCTTTGAGCCACTTGTCTCCGAGACCAAGCAGGGGCAGCAGCGAGGAGGAGCAAGAGACGAAGGAGCAATTGCCCCCTTCTCCTTCCTGTCCTCCTCCTCCTCCTCCTCCTCCTCCTCCTCTTCCTCCTCCCTCTCCTAGCTGTTTTGGCTCCGCTGCTCACGGCGCTTAGGAGCGGGGTGAGTATTTCTAGTCCACAGACAAGGTCTATTCGATTTCGGCGTGGAAATCCTCTCGCTCTCTCTCTCTCTCTCTCTTCTCTCTCTCTCTCTCTTTCTCTCTCTTCTTTTCTCTCTCTCTCTCTCTCTCTCTATTTCTCTTGTTTTTTGATGTTTCTCTTTTGGTTGTTTTGTTGTGTGTGTGTGTTTGTTTCTCTCTCTCTCTCTCTCTCTCTCTCTTTGGTAGGAATATCAGATGACGAACAGTCGGTGGAGCTATGGGTAGGGAAAGCAGTGGGCGGCAGAGGCGCAAGGATCAGGAGCTCGGGCCCGGTCTACTAGACGGGCTTCGGTGTTTCGTCTCGAGCAGTACCGCAGCACGTGCCCGTGCGGCCCTCATTTCAGCAGTGCTCCGCCGTCGGACGGTTCCAGCGAGGCCCGCGCTGGGTGGGGCAAGAGCAGGGGCAAAGGCCGTGGCGTTCCTGGCCCTCCCCGCGTGGTGGGTGTTGCCATGGAGGCGCAGTTCCAGGCATGGTCAAGGGGGCATCAGGTTTCGGAGCAGGCGCTGGCAGCCCGAAGCCTGCTGGGCGCCGGGAGCGCTGAGTGCAAGAAGGAGGCGGCGACGCCCATCACACAGCAGGTGGCGGCGGCAGCAGCTCGTGTTCAGAGGGCTCCAGCAGCCTTCGTCAACCTGGGAGCGCAGCAGGTCAAGACGGCCCTCGGGCTCGAGAGCGTAAGGCAGAAACTCCAGGAGGCGGCCTTCATGCTGGCGACGGCGGAAAAGGAGCGGGCGCAGGTGCTCAAGGCGGGCATCCCTGCCAGCGCGAGCACGGTGTGATCACGCCCGCCCGCCATCGACATGAGTGGTTTGTTTTCGACGCGCACGCTGGATGAGAGCTTCTCCAACTTGAACTCACGGAGTGAGTTCGACAACGCAGATGGCGCGAGAGACGTCGCTGACCTTGCGGAGGCGGGGAGGAGGAAGGGCACCCCTCTTCAAGCTTCGACGGAGACGATGAATGCGACTGTCGGATCCTTGCAGGGGAGGCTTCGCGGTCACAGCGGTTCCTTTGCCACCGTGAGGGAGAAGAGTTCCAGGAAGCGCAGGGCGGAGTCCCCAGCGCCGTTTCCGCGACCAGCAACGTCTGCGGACGCCGTCAGGGTTGCTTGTGGCGCCCGAGGAGATGGACGGCACTGCCACGCCGGAGGCTCATGATGAAAAGAAGCACGACCAGAATCGTGGCCCGAGCGGGGGGCGGAGACCATGCTCGAGGTTGCAAGGGCGGTGGCGGCGCTGCAGCCTCCGGGCCTCCAGCGCTTCGTTTTCCCTCTTCCTCGGTGGGCCGCCAGGCGACACCGATGGAGGTCGCGGGGCCGCCCTTTTGGCGTCCCGTGTGCCAACGCGCGTGCGGCTTCCACATGGTCAAGGGAGGCTGCGACTCGCGTGTTGACGTCTGCCGCGCTGATGCCACGCGCGGCCTTCTCCTCGTCGTCGCACATCGGTAACGCTTTGGCGCGGATCCCCATGGTCCAGGACTGGGGAGCTTTTGTCAGTGTCTTGCAGTGGGTGGCGACGGTCCACGTTCATCTGCAAGGCTTGCTCTTTGTCGGGTGTTGCAGGCCTAGAGGTTGACACCAACACCAAGATCGGCGGTGTGCCTCCACCGAGGGAAGACGGTCCTGATCTCGGTGATGGTGGTAGTATTCTGGCTTCCAAGGTGACCAAAATATTACCACCAACGCCGAAATCTAGGATCATTTTACCATGTGGAGGCAACCCCTTGCGCTGGTGTTGGTGCCAATATTCCAGGCCTTCAAGGGTGGCGCGTTAAGCCAGCATTCGGCATCGAGGGTCAAGATCGACCTCGGAGTGAAGAGCGCACGACGCTCGAGCTGCCGCTCACTGCTGTTGGAGTTCGACCTGGCCGGCGCCGGGTGAACCGTGGACAGCCGTGCGAGGCCAGAGGGGATGGAGGCCGTGCCGCCGGGAGGCTCGCCCAGGTCGATGCGGGCGCGGGTGCGTTGATTTCCTGCCGCGGGGGCTGCAGTCGCGGTGTTCGCACAGGGGGGTCCTCCCGAGCATCGGGGACGCTCTTGCCCCAACTTGCGCATGTCCTCCCAGGACCGCCGAGGGGAGCGGAGCGCTCTTTGGACGGCGGTCGATGTCTCCGCTCGCGGGGGCGCTGCGAAGGGTGCGTCGGCCCCCGTTGGCACGGGCCCTGACTGCGCGAGTTCGGAGGAACCGCAGCAAGGAAGCGCGGCGTCCTCGTGGGGCGGCGGTCGACGCCTCTGCTCGCAGGGCCCCTGCAGAGTGGGCGGTCGAAGATCCCGCGTGCTCCTTGGGCGCTTAGTCAAGGGCACCCTCGAGGTCGCGAAGTTATTCGCGCTTCGCGGTCCTCGTTCCTTCTCCTCCTCCTCCTCTTCCTCCTCCTTTTCTCCCTTCGGGGTGCGGCGCGAGAGCGCGAAGTAGGGATCCCTAGGAACTGGGCGGGTCCTGTGTCCAGCACGTCCAACGCTCATGCGCGGGCGGGCCCGCGGGCGACGGAGGCCCCCGCTGCGAAGGTCAACAATCCCAGGGGGCCCCCATGCTTCGGGGGTGGACAGACCTCCTACCCTGACACGTCGATGAGTGAATTGTCCATTTTCGGCTCTCCAGAGGTTGCCGCGGCCGTCATTTTCCAGGCTCGCGCCCGCCAAGTTTGGGCCCGAGGTCGTTTTCACTGAACTGCGTTTCGCTACAGGGAGGTCTGTCCATCCGCGAACGGGGGCACCTCGTGCCACCAGTGGCCAGCACGGACGAGGCGAAGCACGTGCCAGCCCCGGCCTTCCCATTCGATCCCAGGCGGCCCCCGGAGGCGGAGCGCCCAGCGGCATCGGTGGCCCCCGATCCAGGGAAGACCCCGCGGGGGGCCACCCGGCGGCATCGGGGGGGGCGAAGGGCGCAGCGCGCAGCGGACGCTTCACACGCGGAACCTTGGAGGATGGGGGCCCGCGGCCAGGTCGTCGCGTCAGCAAGAGGTCGCTGATATCATGGCGGTGCCCAAGACGCGTGCCCCCTCCGTCAGCCCCGAGATCTTCTCCGCGAGTGGCGCAAGTCAGGGCGCGAGTGCATGCTGCCATCGGCGCGCAGCGCGCCGCGTCGTCATCGAGCTACAAGCATCGCCATCGGTGTCAAGGAGCGTTTCAAGGTTGCCTCCCTCCGCCACCCTGCCTCGTCTCCTCGCGGCCAAGTCGGGCGGCGCCAGCTAGGCCAGGTCGAGCAACCAGGTCTGGACTTGAGAGATCTCGTGGCTACGCAGCTGTGGGCCCAGAACCAGTTTTTTGCTGTGAGTGTTGAGAGGGCTCGCCATCGACAGCGCTCACTGTCCAGGGGCCCTGGATTATCACGGGAGGCTCCGGGGTCATCGGGGTTTTCGGGCCCCATGGTTCAAGCAGTCGTGGCCACGCCAACCAGCGCTCAGTACACTTGCGCTCCATGGCCTGGCAGGATGCTTGATTGTTTTGTCTTGTTTGAATCAGCCGGGAACGCCCCGCGGAGGTCGCGGCGGATTCTTCAGGCCATCGAAGAAGCGGGCAAAGCCCAGTGCGGGGTGCGGGTAAGATTTTATGTTGATTCTACTAGGGCTCGAGCTCGGGCAACGACGAGGGCGCGAGGCCTCGAGCGCCCTTCGGGGCCCCAGAAGCTCGCGGACCCAGCCGGCAAGAGGTCCGAGGCTCGCGCGGAGCATTCGGGCGTAGCAGCTGCTCGCAGCCAACGCCCTTGGCCCCGCCAACGCGGGGGGGCCGACGAAACGCGCGTCCACGAAAGCCCCTCCCACAGCATCACTATTTGTTTTCAAAAGAAAAGGGGGGAAAAGGACTTTGACGCTGCTGGAGGCGTCGGGGAGAAGCGACGCGCCCGCTAAAGGCCGCGCCCCCCCCCCCCCCACGCCCCAAGGACAGTCACCAGGAAGGTTGTGTCCCTCTTCCCACTCTGGCCGACGTTCAGTCGCAGTGGCTTCCAGCGGCCAATGGAGAGATACAGTCGGGGCCCTGAAGAAGGAACCCTTTTCGTTGGGGAGGGGCTCCGCGTTCCTTAAGTGTTTCACAGCTTGCCTCAGGCTTCCCTCTTTTTTTCGACAGGAAATCGGAGTTCAATTCATGGAAGAAGGGGCCTCGTTCCTTATTTAGGGTTCCTTAGGTCAACGCCCCGGCTGTAGTCCACGCCGCTAGAGGTCGGGATGTGGAGGAGAGCCCGGCCTTTTAGTTAGGCCGCCCCTGCGCAAGCGGGGCGCGCCGGGCCATCGACGCCCACGCTGCCCGGGGCGCAAGAGACCGGGGGTGCACGCAGACGGGGGCCAGCCAGAGCGCCTGGTCTGGCGGGGCCCTGCGCAGCCACGGGTGCATTGACCCCGGCTAGCGCGCAGGGTCCTGCGAGATTCTCGGGGGCGGGAAAGAGGGGGGTGATGACTAGGGGGGGGGGATATCATGGCGGGGGGCAGGATATTTCCCCAGATTTCATGGCGCCTCTTCTTATTTCATTACGTCCCTGGCCCCCCCGCTGGGCCGCGCACATACCGCCGGTCATGATTTGCACCCCCCCCTCTTGGACACCCCCCTTTTGGCCGCTCCCGAGATTCTGCAGGGCCTTGTAACGTCCGACGGACCCGGTTCTTGCGTTGAGCCGGGTCGGTTTATTCCCTGAGCCCTGAGATCCTCGCGCCTATTTTTTTTTACGAGCCGGATGCTTGCGCTCGGCTTCGGGCCCCAGGGCCTCGCACATCGATTGGGCCCGAAGAGTGACACAGAAAGATGAGGGTTGGGGTCCTGGGCATTGCCCAGTGCTGCGATCTGTTCGTTACGTCGGTCGGATCTCAGAGTACTGGGATCGGCGCGGGTGCTGGGCTGAGGGGATAGGGGGTTCATCAGTGGATGCCCAGTCGGGTTTTTGCCTGGCCCAGCCTGGCTCGCGAGTGGGTTGCAAGAAGAAAGGCCCCGAGTGGCTCTGGGGTTCTAACGATCTGTGCTGAACCATCGAACTCCTTCAGGCCACTTGGGCAGTAACAGCAAGCATCACATTGCAAAAGCGGATCGGGTCGGAGCATCGGATCGGGCTGCATCGGCTCACAGTCGAAGTCGGGAGCACCGAGTCGGATCGGTGGCGCCCGAATGCGCACCTGCGCTGTGCAAGCAGCAGGGCCGCGCCCGATTGCCGAGCTGGGACATCGGAGTCGAATCGGATTGAGCCGAAATGACCTCGGCATTGGCCCGGATCGAAGTAGGCCTTTCTTATCGAGATCGGCGCGGAGGTGGGTGAGGGACAGGGGTTGTCCGCTGATGCCAAGGTGTGCTGTTTCAGGCCCAACCTAGCTTATCGGCAGGGTGCAAGAGGTCGAGGGGGGCGAGACAGCTCCGCGAGATGGGCGGAGCCCACTTCGCCGGGCTCGTCAGCCCCCCAGCAGCCACTGGGCATCTCCAACCCGCCCACCTCGGCGTCCACTGCGAACCCCCTGTCTTCTCAGCCCCCCGCGAGGGCGGCCGGGAGGAGGAGGAGGATCAGGAGATGAGAAAACACACAGACACAATTGATCGTCGATCCCCAGGAAAATATGGGAAAATATGGGAAGTGGGGGGGAAGACAAAAACCTGGAACATGTGCGAGAATATGGGGGACCCTTTTGTTTGTGTGTGTTTATCTGTGTGTCGTTGGGGCCCTCCAGAGGAGGAGCGTCCGAGCAGTGCGGCGGGCGGCGAGGCGCGGCCGCGCGGCCGCGGGATCGTGCCTCGGCGGGCTCCTGGCGCCCGGGCTTTGGGGCCGAAGCCCGGGCCGAGAGTGTACGCCCTGGAGGCCAG